TAACAACCGATCAATGATCGGCATGGAATTGATTATGATCCGCGGAAAAGCAGGGTTTCGGTTTCCAACCTGAAAAAATCAGGGAAAGTCATGATCGAGAACTTTGGGAACGTTATTTCAAGCCCTGTAAGAATACAAATTTACAATTACATGTATCGAAAGGGCTTACACAGTTCACAGTTAATAGACTAAGACTTATGACGCTTCACAGCACACCATGCATATTTTGCATTTTCAGTGTTAATCGTTAAACTCATTGTTAAAAAGTAATCACCGTGGTGGTTATTGTCATTATTGGTATTGTTTTGCATCCACATTTTGTCGTTATCGGAAAATGTATGGCTTACAAGTTGTCACTATTTTTTACTTGCATTATTTCAATATAGTTTGTAAATTTCAGAAGCGAAGGTAGAACTTGCCAATAAGCAATACTCCAATAATATACGTTTCAAAAAAGACAAAAAAGCTTTTAGTTTTGCAGAGTTACATTCTCGAATGTTTAAGGCACTGATAAAATCAAAGTATCATGAAACATGAAATTATTTGAATAAACCACACCACATATATATGATGCAATTTTCTTTGCGGAAGTTAAAAATCAAGATTACATCACTGACACTGACATGGAAAGTTGACGATTCAATGGACAATAGTCAATACGCTTCCCAACAAATTCCATAGATTTTTTATTAATCCTATAGTTTATTGTTAGCAAGTGATTAATGTGGCGGCTATTGTGAACATTGGTATTGATAAAATTTGCCAGCGATTGTTTTTATAATATGTTATGTGAATGTAACTGCCAGAAGAATACGACAACATGATTTTATGAGATCTCTGTGGGCAATGGTTCCACTTTAGATGTGTAGAATATGACACTAGTCTAAGTACCTCAAATGAGTGGTTATGCAGACTGTGCACACCACCAGCTGCTAAGAAGCCTAAAATGTGTATGTGATTTTGTCTCCTTGTAATAAATAAATAAATCACACAATAAATCTTTTCAACTTGCAATCATTTTGTTTTTAGATCAAAAATTCAAAATTTATATGGGGGGGCGAAATTCCTAAAGGGGGGCGATATTCCTAGGAGATTCGCCCCCCGGGGGCGAATATCCTAGGAATATCGCCCCCCTTTTGAGAGGGGGGCGAATCTCCTGGGGGGGCGAATCTCCTGTGACACCGGTAAAATACAAAACATCAATTTATATATTGCCTAGAATCTCAAAGATTTTCTCAATATTTCATGTCTGAAATGTTTATATATTTGAAAACAAACTGTATCGCTCCTTCCTAGCTCTGTATAGTGAATATACCGTCAAAACAATATCGACACTTAATTGAATGCCTATAGAATCTCGAAGATTTTCTCAATATTTTAATACGTCTGAAATGTTTATACATATGAAAAAAGCACTGTCTAGTGTTAAAGTATGATCTATAATATTCTGATGATTGATTGTTAGTAATTAATATGATTATATAAAGATATACGATTAGAGAAGATGACGCAGGAACATAATTCCATATAGATTACACGCATATATATGTTGTAATGATTATCCAATAATAAACCTAATATGGTAATATGAATGAAAACGTAATGTAATATATCCTAAATGTATAATCATGTAATCTCTTATATATAGATGTAATTTTGTTATGTAAAGTCAGAGTGAATAAAACTGTTGGACACTAAAGTTGTCGTGTCAGGTTGTACTTAGTTAAAGGTGATCTACAGTCCGATCTGCGCATGTGCACAAAGGAGCCCACTTTTTATGATACAAACAGTTTAACTATGTTTTGGGTTCTTGAAAAGCCTGATTATTGTTTCTTGATCATTTATTATACTCTAGAAGCTTGAAAATATACATAGTTGTCGAATAAAGCTCAATATTTTGGACACAAAAATGTAAACAAAGGCTTTGTTTACATACGGACTGTAGAGCACCTTTAAAGGGGTGGCAAATGGCTGCACCCCAAAACCCAACATCTAGCTCCTTTCCAGCTTTGTATAATGAATATACCGACAATCCGACATCCATCTATAAAATAATATCGATACTTGATTGAATGCCCATAATGCATAACATCAATTTATTTATATGTTGCGCTGCAGATTCTCAAAGATTCACTTATATTCACGTCTAAAATATTTATATACCGGGTGTCCGAAAAAAAGTACTCCGGTTTGATTTATAATAACTTCTAAACAAGTAAAGCTATCAAAAAGAAATAACTTGCATTAAATAGAGGAAGGACTAACTTAGATTTTGATATATTACAGTTGTATTTTACTTAAAAATTCACGGAGATATTAATGTTCAAAATCGGGAGCATATTTTGGGATGTGTCTAAAATTAGCGAAAATCGGCGTATCAAATTTTAACTCCAGCGTTTGTTTGTTTAATGACATATCAGGGTAAATTGTATTTCAGCGAATTGTCGTTAGGGTTTGTAAGGGATATGGCGTAGATTTAGACATCTTACATGTAAGTCTTAACTCACTGTTTCCTGAAATATGAACGTTCGAAATTATGTAAGTATTTAATAGGTCTTTGCAAACTTAAGGTACTGAAAGACCATGCAAGGCAGGCGCTTCAATTTTTCTTAAATAACCTATTTTTTTATGTTTTTCATGGGTTCAAAGCAAAGTTGATTATTTCTCGGTTAGAGCAGGATTAATATTGTTCTTTAATGCAGGAAATAATATTGCTTTTTGCAAATACACATCACAGTATCAAAGCTACTATTTTGTTACGTTTTGTTCCAAAAATGTTGGATGTCTCTGGGGAGTTGCATGCTTGTTATGTCTTTACTTATGGAGTTGTATGGTTTGATTGTGTTTCATTCTCAGTTTATTCTGAACTTGCCAAGATTAAGAAAGGCAAAAGAGTTTGGGTGTTCTTAACAAGATTTCAGAACGTTGCAGAAGTTAGAAAATTCATTCAATGTGAAGTTAGAAAATTAACAATAATTCCAATGTGACAGCGTGCCCTAATTCAGAACTACGAACGATCCATGACGATCCTTCGCAATGCAGTGGTCTCATGAAATAAGGAAACGTATATTCGTGCTAGGAACACACGCGGATTTCGGACGAATAAATCTTGCTTGTATTTTGTAGATAATAATACTTTGTTTCATAATAAACAATTTGTCAAGTGTCATTTATTTACAGGTAATAGTGCATGTTTCAGTCGGGTAAATCTTGATAATATTTGATACGCTGTTTTTGGCATATTTCAGACACATCAAGAAATATGCTCCCGATTTTAAACCTTAATATCTCCGTGAATTTTTAAGTGAAATACAACTGTAATATATCAAAATCTAAGTTAGTCCTTCCTCTATTTGATGCAAGTTATTTCTCTTTAAAAGCTTTACTTGTTTAGAAGTTATTTCGAATCAAACCGGAGTACTTTTTTTTGGGACACCCGGTATATTGTGAAAACAACACTGTATCGCTCCTTCGAAGCATCGTCACGCCATCGTTGATCCATCGGCTTGACAGCGCACGCGCATTTGCGCTGCTAAAGAAAAAATCGGGTGTTCCTGGGTAAAGATCCTTTACATAACATGAGAAGCGAATGTTCTAAAATTTACAAAAAATTGCAATAACGACAACGATTCCTCGAAATTTTTGTAAGCCTGGCAAAAGGCCTAAAGAATATTTAAAGAAGACAAATGAAATTACCTAAAAAACTTTCAAAGTACTGACTAAGTACAATAAATCACTGAGAACATAAATCGTATACACCCCCCGGAAAGTTTACCCTATGACTGACTGAATGACTAACTGAATGCTGACTGACTGAATGCTGACTGACTGATAAGTGTGAATTTTCGCCACCATCACAATAGTGTAAAGTGAAACTTTACACTAAAAACGGTATAAACTATGAAATTTGCAAGAATTTATCACAAGATGATATTTCAATATATTGAAAACATTTGACATGCAAATCGAAGCATGTAGACTTAAATAGCCTGCCACAGCAGACGGTTTTTGGGGGGAGGAGTTTGTTTTACACTCTCAGGCCCGTTTCATACGCCGTACTTCACATGTGCCGAATACATTAAAGACAATAGGTAATGAGGCATTTCAGCTCATTATCTATTGTCTTTAATGTATTCGGCACATGTGAAGTACGGCGTATGAAACGGGCCTCAGTGACCAACTATCTCTGGTTTTATGCACCCAACAAGGACAAAAATACCATCGTTCGAATCAGCGTATGAAATTGCACTTACGGATGCCAAATTCATTACTAAACAGCAGTATTCTTACTAGCGATTTATGGCCTTTGAAAGTCAAGCGAAATTTTATTGTTGATAATTGACAAATCGCTCAAAATTATTATTTAACTAATTAAAAATGCAGTACGTTTGATCCTTGATAACTTTCATATCGTTGGTGTTCTCTTTTTCGGCCGTATAATACCAATGAATTCGTCTCACTTTTCTCTTCATTTTAGGCACAGGTTCAATTCCTGCCAGAGGGCCGATAGTTGCCATTTTATGCAACTGCTCCTTGTTAGGTCTAATAAATGTGTATATATACAAATTCCACTCGAAATTAGTTCCATCTACAAATCCCTTCAACAATTATATCTATTGCAATGCACAAAAATCTGATATTAGTCCATAATACATTAATACTAATAGACACTTTTTCATTTTGCATTTATGTACACTGAAGAGGTTTTCTCCCAGCAGAAACAGTATTTATTCATCAGCTATAAGTCTGTTTTAAGGCCGATTTACACTACACAACTTTTGCTTAAAACTGTTGCATGTGAGTATATGCAACCTGCTTACAACTTGCAATTGAGCTTTACTGTGTAAAGGAAGCCTCACATATCGATTTTGTCCATGAGAAACGTCAAATGTTCGTTTCTCTGCAGACCCCCCCCCCCCCCTTAGAAACGTCACACATAGTTATCGATATTTTGTTCTTTACAGGGCCGCCCAGAGGGGGGGGGCAAAGGGGGCAAATTGCCCCGGGCCCCGAGTTGCTGGGGGCCCCTGAAAAATTTTTGTTGGGGCCCCAGCCTTTTTTGTGTGTTAAATATTTCCGCGCAAAGGACAAGATATCTGTTTTCTTCGGGCTAAGTACCGAATTTTGGCATAAAAAAATGAGATAAAGGCCCTCGAAAGCAATTGCAACGTACTCGTCCGGAAAAATTTTGTACTCCGGAAAAAAATTTTTACCCCCTAAAATGGTACACTGACCGAAAATGTTTTGGCGACGGGGGGGGGGGGGGGGGGG